ATTCATGCATTAATCCAATAATGCCTAGATTTGAGTTTTTTCCTCAAAATATAATCGTTTAAAAATTTTCTGGGATTTTATTTACAAATTTGTAAACGTTAAAATTAGAATTTTTAGATTTTATTTTAAAGGAAACCATAATTAGTTTTCGCAATCAACCTAAAATTACCGGAAAAATCTTTATCTGAGAAAAAAATTGTTAAAAATCAACTTATTGTTGGCTTAAAGAAGGGTCGAGCCTACAATAAAATTCTTCTAATTCTCAATGGTTTATTGAAGGTGTTTTAAGCTATTTCACGTTTATAAATACGATTTTCCTGAATTTTGCTAAAATTGTTTAATAAACCTAAAATAAGTTTTTATAAATACAGCCGAAAAAGATTAAGGATGAAATAGCTGAAGAGGTGATAATGTAAGTACTCTTAACATTGGCGAGACCATCGAGAAAAATTGTCGGAAAATTACCATCCTGTATAAAACAGGGCACACTCAAGAAATTTAAATACTTGTTGTTAAATTTTAATGCGTACATTTTGAAAATAAACTGAATAACCCTGTTAAAAACTGGAAGACTATCATATTTTTATTTTTTTATCGATTAGAGAGCACAGTAGTGAAAAGCGCGAGGTAAACGAAATGATACATAATTACAAGCCAAGTAAATACACGAGAAGCCTAGTCCCAAGCGACTATCAATAATATAAAGGTACATTTGTTGACAGATATATTGAACAGTGGCTTTGCGTGGGAATTGTTGAAGTGAGCTGTAAATTACTAGCCACTCCAGCATGCAGGGCTGCTTCAGAAAGGAGAAAAAATTACTCTTATTGGAACTAATAATGTTGTTCTGCACTCAAATTTGAACAGATATTTTTGAAATAGAATAATACTTATTTTAATTGAAACAAAATAGATTTCTGTTACTTTACATTTTATGTCGATCTAAATAATTTTTTATATTCATCAAATCTTTTCAAAGTGTCAAATAGAAAGCATATTTCTGTATATGTTCCTCAAACATCGATATGGAAGATATTCGTTACAAATAAGTTTGCTAATGATTTTCTCTCAGATTTTAAGTCGTTCGCCGTGGGAAATTTATTAGAATTCCATTTATAAGAAAAAATAGATATTTAAATATTATATTACCTTCTATTTTGAATGAATTTTTCATTCATGTTTTCCAATTTATTAGACCTCTATATTTAAAATTAACTTGATTAACATATGGAAGACGAATAAAGTGTCCTCTCTGTTTCAGAAATATATTATTTTGGTCCTTTCAAAATAGAACGATTTTTCTTACAATTTGGCAAACTTAAATCTGGGAAACGCCTAGCATTGAATTAGGAAATGTGGCCTAATTTCATATCCCGGGATACCAGGATGTAACTCTAATACAGAACATTATCCGTCTTTTATTTCAGTACGTAATTCTTTACTTTATAAAAGTGATAAATTTGTTGGGCCTAGCTTCGTCCTCGTAAACAACATAAAAATTAAATTCAAAGTCACCATAATATCTGGGATGATTGATCAAAAATAGTATATTGTAACGAAATTATATTTGCATTTAAACTAAACGGTTTTTAACGGCCAGTTCCGGAATCTTAGTGACTAACATTTGGTTGGCAACACTAAAACGTAAAGTCCATCATTGTAGAGGTGTGTGTCTCCACTAAATGTACCATAAGTATTCGGAACTTGTAAATATACGGCCTTACCGTTTACTGTATAAGTTGTGCTATTTTACTGTGCAAATAAAGAGTTGTTATAATTTGAAACTAAATTAACGCTTTTATTTGCAATAACAGAATCCGGTTTATTTCAAAGAGAAATAAACCAACGTTTTAAAAAGTAAAACATAACAATATTTTAGTATTTATGAAAAATTTGGGGATATGTACATATTTTATTTATAGCATATTTTCGTTCGTCTTCGCAGACCCATTTGGGAACCGTTACACTACAGGACATAATTCTAGAACAATTTTATTTAAACTGTTTACATAGTTATATGCATATAGTTAAAAACATAGTTAAATAAAATTCCATTTTGGAATAGGTGTACATATGTGTGTATGATACAAAAATACGCTTGTATAAAACTTACTTGTGCCGCTGTTTATCGATTTACGGTTATATTTAATATAATTATGAGCTCAAAAGCCTTTTTCAGAGAGTTCTGTTGTATGGGGGCTAGGTGAAATAATGGAGCGATTTTAACCATTTTCAAAAGGCTTCGTCCTTGGGTCAAGGATTGCATGGACAAGGTTTACAACCCAATATACCCTCCCCATTAAAGTGGCGTAGGGTATAAAAATAAAAAATAAATGTGAAAACGTCAAATAGAAATATGTAAAATATCATTATATTCTTTATAAGCGCTCATCACCGCTTTTTTAGTTGGACTTATGGAGTATTTTCAATAAAATAAGGCATTAACTTTGTATTATTAGTGGTTTTATATTATGTGATTTTGTATTAATACAAAGTATTATTGTTCTGTAATCTAAAACCCTTAAATGATTTGTACTTAACATGTATTAAGTTTTTTAAAATTATCTTATTATACAAAATACACAATTTTTATATTTGTATTCCTGTTTATTTTATAACTAGCTTTACCCAGTGTGCCTTGCTACCCTAAAAGGAATATGTATAAATAAAAATCCCACTTAACGATTTTGAAGGTTCTAACTACAATAGTTTTCCAGATTTATAATATGTTATACATATATGAGAGATGTCAATCAAATTAATGCAAGTTCGCCAGTTTCTATCTATCGCCAATTTCTATCTATCTATAAAAAATTTGAATAATATAAGAGTTTCCAAGATGCACGAATTTTTGTATTTAATTCATATATGTTGTTCCAAGCCACCCATTGAAAGTCCGCCCGTTATGCTCTAAATGTTCACATGAATTTTAAAGTTCTTCATGTAAAATTTGAAGATTCTAGCTCTAATAGTTTCTCAGATATACGTATTTTTCCATTTGATTCATGTGGGGGCTTCAAGCTCCCCACATGAAAGTCCAAAATATTCAGCTGAATACTAAACTAATTTGTGCAAAATTTTATAAATCAAGTTCTATTAGTTTCCCAGATAAACGAAATTTTATATTTAATGCATATGGGAGGTGCCAAGTTCCCCATTGAAAGTCCGCCCGTTATGCTCTAAATGTTCACATGAATTTCAAAGTTCTTCATGTAAAATTTGAAGATTCTAGCTCCAATAGTTTCTCAGATATACGAATTTTTCTATTTGATTCATATGGGGGCTTCCAGACCCCCCAGATGAAAGTCCGCTTTTTTCCTGCAAAATGTTAAGATGCATATTTAAGTTTTTCGTTCAAAATTTGAAGTATTTAGTTCCATTAGTTTTCCAGATAAACGAATTTTTGTCATTAATTAATATGGGAGGTGCCGCTCCCATCAAGGGTAGTCCACCAATTTATTACCCAAAATGTTTAGATGGATGTTAAAGTTATTCGTGCAAAATTTGAAGATTCTAACTGTAATAGTTTCTAAGATAAACATATTTTTTTATTTAATTTATATGTGAGGTGCCACGCCCCCTAATGGTAGTCCGCCTACTTTTTGTCCTAAATAATTATATTGACACTAAAGTTGCTCCGACAAAATTTGAGGACTCTAACTGTTATATTATCTTAAATATACGGATTTAATATTTTCTTAATATGGGCGTGGCTCCTCGCACACTTAGGATTTCAAAATAAAAAGTAGCCTATTACCTATTCCAGACATACAGGAATATGCTGTGTAAATTTAAATAAAATTGGTTCAGCCGTTTAGTAGTCTATAACGTTCAAACATACAAACAAACACACATTAATTTTTATATATCGAGGGACTATATTCAATAGTCGCTATCTGTCATTTTCATGAAAGTGAGATTTTGATGGCAAAATATTCAGCAAACTATCCCGCATCAGTGATATAAATTTCAAAGAAAAAAAAATATTTTTTGGCAATTTTATAGCATTTTTTAAATTTCTCTATCTTAAAAACAGAAAAATTCTGAATGCAAAACTCTCTATCTTATCCAAAAATTGCTTCAAACTCTATCCCTTTGAATGATTTTCTGTTGCAAAACAAGTCTTCTTAATAATTTGGACATGCTGAACACAAATCCGTCAAAATATTTAAAATCGGTCTAATAGTTTTTGAGATATCGCTCATTATGATACTAATTAAATCAATTTTATTGTCGTGTTTAACCATATAACTTTGATTTTGGACCAAAACATTATAATCTGTTGCTTTTTCAACAATTTGGTTTATTTTCCTCCATTAAATTGTATTAAATATAATATTTATTGATTTTAATTCGAATAAAAATTTTATATTTCCATGAAAAACTCTCTATCTGTTGGTTGAATGAATATTTTCGTAGAAAAATAAGCTCTATCTGATATAAATTTGTGAATAATTTTGCAAATAATGCAAAATTTAAAATTCTTTTTATATAAGGGTTTAGTATATGGTCGTAGAAATATATTGTAGAAGAAAAAATTTAAAAATCTTCACTAACTAGCGAAATGAACAGTTTTTTTGCTCTCCTGAAAACTTGTATTATTTTAGATAGGGACTATTGAATATAGTCCCTCGATATATAGATACAAAATTAATAACGAAAATAAACTTCATGCCACAATTTTCCTATTTACACAACTTGTTTTTTGATATTTTAAAACTCTGCAAACATAAAATATTCATCAGAAGGAAGTCTTTCTAAATATTTGGTTTGCGTTGAACGAAATCACTATTTACAAAAGTAGTTTCGAAGATGGTATGAAATAAAAAAGTGTTCGTGACATAAAAATTAAATTGTAAAACGTAAAATCTAGAAATGCTGTTAAAAATGGTTGAGTAGAATATTACCTGAAGAGAGAGAATGGTCAAGCTTTCAGTGAACACATATTATAAACATTTTTGGAAATCAACTTTAAACATTTTTTTCTCCGAATTAATAAGTAGGTGAGAGTTAATATTTAATAACCTAATTATTTTTATTTACAACAGGCACATTTCATATAAATTTTTTTGTAATTAGACTTTTAAAAAAATATTACATTATAGCTTATCTTAATTATATTAAAAAATATAGACAATTTAGTTAATTTTTAATATCATATGTAATCTTTACATATCCTACAGAAACTATTGAAGAATTTATGTTTAAGGCTGCCAGAAAAGTTTTGGCTCGACCTTTGTCATTGTCATTTTATCACTAATCCACATTGTTCCGTTTTGAGCCATCTCAATAATTTTTACCAGATGTTCTCCAGCCTTGGCAGCAGGTTGGCGTGGAGCCGAAAATATTTCGTCTGTTAAAGGTTTTGAATATTCAAAAGTATCACTAATTTTTGGGTTAGCTGTCATTGGACTTTCAGTAAGACCAGGACAAAGTGCAGTAATTACAACGCCAGTACGATTATAATAATAAGGATCCTAAAAAAGTAAATAAACGATTTAAAAAAGGCATTTATTGCAATATACCGAGTCAAGTTATGTATATAATCCGAGTAAATTCAAGTAAGGAGGTTTTGATTTCACATTGAATTTTATTTGAAGTAACTTACCGATAGTGAACGTGTAAATCCAACAACACCAAACTTAGATGCACTGTAGACGGCAATTGGTGAACATGGCTCCAAACCCAATACCGAAGCAATATTTAAGATAACACCGCCACGACCTTTTTGGGTTTTGTCCATGTAGGGAAGTGCTTCCATGGTAGTGTTAATAAGACCAATCAAATTAACATTGATGGTGAGTTCAATATTACGGTCCGCAATGACTCCAGCGCCGTTTACCAACACATCAATGTACTTCATGATGCTGACAAGTTGGTTAAAAGTGTTTTTAATGGATGTTTTGTTAGTGACATCGAATTTCATATAGAGAACTTTTGTTTTAGGATTCATTGCTTGCAGGGTTTGAACAGCCTTCGCATTTTCCATCACATCCAATACGGCCAAATACTAAAGGATGCAAAGTCCATATATATTGTTAACATTCATAAATGATGAAACGATTTGCTCATATATACAGAAGTAATACTTACAGCAACATTTCTAGTCATAAGTTGTTTACAAGCCTCAAAACCGATTCCACCTAAACCGGCTACGAAAACTACATTTTTACCAGTAAGATCCATGACGTGCAAATGAATATATATTTAAACTTAAGTGAATTGGTGTCTGGTGTCTATACCACAACAAGTTCAGATTAATAATAAATTTTATTTAGATCGTATCCCAGTTTTTATAGTGAGATACTTGCACTTGATTACGCGTCAAAAATGTTGATGAGTGTAAAATAAACAGCTAAGCCCCTCAGCGCGTCAGATGTCAAAGAGATAACCGACATACATACAAACATACATATGTGTGTATGAATATAGTAGCTTGGCCCAAGCTGGCACCTTATATTTGAATTAGTACTTGTTGTTACTGATCAGTCTTGATATCAATAAAAATTAAATTCTAAGTGGAACAGTGATGATGTGAATGGCAGCACATTTATTTTATTAAATTGTAATTCATTTTTATTTGTGATTCTTAAATAAAAACGTAAACAAATAAATTTTACAACTTACAAAGCTATTAATTAACTTGTCTTTTGTTGACTTTTTAAATCCAAGGAACATTTTCAATTATGACATAGACGATTAAATATTTCTTTCTACAATAACATCTCGAATCAAATTTTATGATTTTATAATACATGGTGTTATTTTTAATACCTCCACTGTAGTGGTATAAAGATTTACTTACAACCACAGAATTTAAAAAAGTATTAAAATAAAACATTCGTGTACGGAAAAGGGCAAATAATTATATGTATTTAAAAAGGTATTAACCCAGCAGTTCGACGGGACAGTCCCGAACTTACCACTTGACATACCACTTATGGTGGCCCCTAGCCACCCGACTACCCAGGTGACCAACCATTTTAACATGGGCTTGTTCTACGAGGAAGTCAATCGTCACCCTACAGTCCACAATGAGACTGTCAAGAGGTAGTCAAAAGTAGTCAATGGATGGTAATCTACAAATGGTTTCTTGGGAGTCTGTCACATTACTAGCTCTTTTACTATTTACTTTACTAGCTATTGACGTGTCCTAGGGGAAAGTCAATTGTTCCCAAGTAGCTTGTCCAATGGACAGGTATTGCGGTAGGGTTAAATAACCGGTCCGTCGAAGTACAACTCTAAAAACTTATGGCAAATAAAAAAAACACTTAAAAAATACTTTTATTTGTAGATTAAATAGATATTGAAATAAATATTTTTTTAACATTGCTGCTCATTTGTATCTTCAGTAAAATCGGACTTTTAAACTTTGGAATTCATTAATACACATAAATGACTCTGAAAGAATAGAATTTGTTATATCAAGGAAAGATTAGTTTTTTCCGAAATCTCTGCTAAAAATGTTTGTTTTAATTCACCTTTAAAAAATTTACTTTTCCAAATTGTAAATATTTCTTATTTAAATTTCATTACTTTTACTATTTTTTAATTTACTTAAAAACATTTCCTTATTTTAAAATTCAAAACGAGAACTGCCTTAAACAACTTCTTAAAGTCAACTAACATAAAAATCAAATAACTTAAAAAGTGATGAAATAGTATAACTGTTCATTGTCTTTGCACTCAGACAAAACTGATCATGTTTATTCTTTTTCTCTTCACCTTTAATTCTTAAGTTTTTTCAACTGTCCCCTCTCGTTTAATCGGGGGACAGTTAAGTGACGACTGCCACTCTCTTGCTTACTTGGTGTACAGTAACGTGGCGACTGCCTTCGCTCTCGATTACGAAGAGTACATTCGTAATGAATGACCAAAAACATTCAAATAGGGTACAACCAGCTGGTTACACTTTAGTGGAAAATAACAATTGTGTCTCCAATTGATTTGTAAAATATCTACATTCTGAAGTACAATGGAAAAAAAATATTTTTAAGTGTCCCCTCACTCGTTTACCTAGGGTACAGTAAAGTGACGACTGTCTTCACTCTCGTTTACGAAGAGTGCGTTGGTGACGAATAAGCCAATATATAGAAATTAGGGTCAACCATATGGTTACACATTAGTGTAAATGACTGTCTTTTACGTATGCATTGACTCTTTGTCGAACTGCTGGGAATATATAGGAGTTTATAACCAAATTTAGGCGCTATCACAACTAAAGTTCCAGAGATTAGTTACACCTAGGCCTCTACCGGGCCTGTTGTACGCTCCTTAAGCAGTGCGTCATGTGGGAATCGAAGCAACCACCTCCCGTCAACCTAGCGGAGGCCACTAGATGAAACAAAAAGTTGGAAAATACTGAAATGAAACAGTATTTCTCTTCTTTTTTTAGATCTCAACACGGAGTTTGAGAATGTTGACAATTTCACAGACGATTATACATACATACATACATACATACATACATACATACATACATACATACATACATACATACATACATACATACATACATACATACATACATACATACATACATACATACATACATACATACATACATACATACATACATACATACATACATACATACATACATACATACATACATACATACATACATACATACATACATACATACATACATACATACATACATACATACATACATACATACATACATACATACATACATACATGTATAAATTGGAATTATCTATTTTAAAATTTAATGCTCATTTTTTGCAATTTTCCATGTATAGAACCTCAATCTTCAAATTTCTTAACTCAACTTTTTTAACTATTATATTTTTATCCCCTCGACCTTCGTGAGAAGGGTACATTTTTGTATGTACATTAGGATGGCCCTGGGTCAAAAGATAAAAAATTCCTTTTTAAAATTTTTCCATGTTTTCATATTTCACGTAAATGAATAATACTAATTTTTGATACCAAAAAACAAAAGGTGCTATTGAAAGGTAATTCAAAAATATTGAAATATTGAAAATTGTATTTACAAAGAAAGAACGACAGTAACTACATTTTTATGTAAACAAGTATTTTAGTTAACCATAAAATATTATTTATCTATGAAATGCTTATGAAATCACACGTATATTAACATACAATACATCTTGGTCAATATTGGGCCTGTTGTCCTTTTCATGGAAATTGTTTGTTGGAATATAGTTGTGTCCACATAGAATACGTGCAATGTTACTAAACTCAGTTATGTGTGGTGACCACATGGAATCTTTATGGTTCTATCTACCATTTCATTATTCCAAGTAGCCTTGTCCTATATTTTTAGTTCAGCCCTTGTTTGGTCGAACGGTTTTACGTTTGTTAGGTTAACTAAATCAGTGCCTTTTTATACTCATTTCACATGATGCAATTATTCGTTATTCACGCTCACATTCGTCACTCAACACCTAATTACAAACTGAATTACAGATTGGTCATATAAAATTTCTGCTGCGAATTTACACAAGCTGTACGTAATTCAGTTTGAATTAACGGAATTAGTCGGTCACGCCAGACTATACTTTCTTACTTGTTTTAAATTAATTATAATTTAATAAATGACATTGGGTTGTTCTTCTGTTAAAAACCTTTTTAAAAATTTAATTAAACTTTAATATTTTAAGTATTCATACTAAAATCGAATTTCTGAAACACTGATTCAGTTATACTCTTGTACAGTACAAAATTTATAGTTTAAGCAAAACGTTTCATAAAATTAACTTTTTATCAAATTAAAAAAAGTAATTAAATGCAATTCCCGAAAATTTCCCGTTTAGAAACCCTAAGCAAACTACATAACAATTAAACATCTGTCAATAATATTTAAATATTCATGTTGTTTTATTCGGTAAATATGTTTGAGAATGATAACAGCAGTCTTATCTCTCAAAAAAAGTTCCAAAATAATAAAATGTTTAATGAGAAAAACAAAACATTAAATGCCATCGTATATTTCAGATATAACAATACATATACATATGTATATTAACGAATGTTAATATATGTAAATATATTCAAAGTTCGTCCTACTTTGAAGAAAAAAATGCTGTCCTGTAAAATTTTGTTTCTGTCGGTTACGTCTTTTTTGCGAAAGGGGCTATATATGTATATCTCATACATACATATTTATTGTTTTTATACCTTTGAAAATGTTTACTTTATAGATTAAATAATTTTATTGATAATTGTTTTAATTGTTTTCTATAAATTAAATTATTTGACCCCAGATGAACTTACATATTTACTTGTTTTAAATAAAACTATTTTCTAAAATAAAAATTTTTACAATGAGGTAATGTTATTATATCATAGGCTTATTTTGAAAATTAAATTCACATTTTGTCCGAGTCCATAGAAAGGTGGCTTTTAATTAGAACATTACACTAATTTGAGATTAAATGTTTTAAGTAAAAAATTAGAGTATCTAATTACTCAGGATAACAAATTTTTAACACAGACAGCAAAGTATACTTTTCTAAAGGATTGATCAGTGCTGAATCCGAATCATCAAAAGTTATCCATCACATCAGGTTTTCCAGATATTGTTCCATAAAATTTGAAAAAATTCCGTTTTTGGCCATATTTGAGACACTATAACAGCGTGAAAACACCTTTATTTATAATTTTTTTATATCGTCGGTAAGTCACATCTGTCGACTTTAAAATTTTCTCATTAATCGAGATATCTTAACCTAAAGCTTGCTAAAACCGTAAATTTACAAAACTGAATTTTTTACATCACATTTTATGATAAATTTGATGTGCTTTATAGAATTTTAAAATATTCATTCATTCAAACGATAAATTTAATAAATAAACGTTCAAATAAATGAAATAGGCAAAGTTTCAAATAACGAATAAACCGAATAATTTCTATCAATTACCCGATTAATAAAAACTTACTAAATTCAATACCTTTATAATAGATTTTCTTCCTCTATTTATTCCTTAATTATTTTTCAAAAATGAAAAAAAATTATTGAAGATTTTTATATCAAATCTTCCGAAACATTTTGAATTTGTTCTGATTTATGTACCTACCTCTAGAATGGATTCATATAGATAAACTTACGATTCTGAACAGCAATCATAAGGTACGTCAAATATCTGGCGAAGAAAACGTAACCGCTATTTTTTATAATTGTATTTTTGATCTTACATTATTTTTATAATTGCAAATAATATCGAAACAAATAATAAGGACGATCTAAACTGATATCTTTAAAGATATATTATGTATGTTTGTGCAAATAAAAATGTATTTAAAGGAAATCAAAATGTCGATTTCTTAGGGGTCACAACATTTTCGTCAAATATTTGGTAAGTGTAAACGTAGCTTTAGAAATAATGATATCGCCTTTATATCT